TCCTTGCCCCTCATTTCAATAAACTACCCTCTCCTAGCCTCTATCACCTACTCCATCCTGAGTCACCCCTCATCACCTGCTCTGACCTGAGTCATCCTGAGTCACCTGTTCTGTAACTGTCCTTCCCACCAAACTACTCACCCCACCACTCCAACTCGTACTCCTGCTCTCTTTAAAATCACCAATCAGAATTAGCTTAGACTGTGCAATCCAACCCTAGCCAGTCAGGGAATGATGCAGCAGTAGGGGTTACCTGCATCAGGAATAAGAACCCCTTCCCCTCCCTTGTTCAGATGTGCTCTTGCCATTGCTCCATCCATGAATCACACCCTTCTGTAGCAGTAAAAATTGCCTTGCTGAGAAAATTAAATTTGTGTTTGAGTGTTATTTCTTTTGCGGCACTGAAAATTTATTTCTAACAATAGCCTACTACACACCTAGGCTATATGGTAGAGCCTATTGCTCCTAGGCTACAAACTTGTACAACATGTTACTGTACTGAATACTGTGGGTAACTATAACACGATGGTAAATATCTGTGTATGTAAACATATCTAAACATGGAAAAGGTACTGTAAAAATATAGCATGAAAGAACAAGTGGCTGGCTCAAGCCTGTAATCCCAGCACTTTGGGAGGCCGAGACGGGTGGATCACGAGGTCAGGAGATCGAGACCATCCTGGCTAACACGGTGAAACCCCATCTCTACCAAAAAATACAAAAAACTAGCCGGGCGAGGTGGCGGGCACCTGTAGTCCCAGCTACTCAGGAGGCTGAGGCAGGAGAATGGCGTAAACCCGGGAGGTGGAGCTTGCAGTGAGCTGAGATCCGGCCACTGCACCCCAGCCTGGGCGACAGAGCAAGACTCCGTCTCAAAAAAAAAAAAAAAAAAAGAACGAGTGGCACCCATGTAGGGCACTCACCATAAATGGAGGTTACAGGACTGGGAGTTACTCTGGGCGAGTCAGTGAGGGATGAATGAATGTGATGGCCTAGGACACTATTGTACACTATTGTAGACTAAATTTATCTTTTTTAATTATTTTAAATAAATTTATTTTTTAAAATATTTTAACAATAAATTAAATTTAGACTGGACACAGTGGCTCATGCCTGTAATCCCAGCACTTTGGCCGAGGTGGGTAGATCACTTAAGCCCAGGAGTCTGAGACCAGCCTGGGCAAAATGGCAAAACTCTGTCTGTAAAAAATACAAAAATTAACTGCGTGTGGTGGCACATGCCTGTGGTCCCAATATATTAACTTTAGTTGACTGTAACTGTTTTATTTTATAAGCTTTAAAAATTGTTTAAATTGTTGACTCTTTGGTAATAACACTTAGCTGAAAACACAAACACACTGTACAGCTATACCAAAATATTTTCTGTCTTTATATGCTAATATATATCCTTTATATCCTACAGTTTTTTTTTTCTATTTCTAGGATTATTTATTTGTTTATTTTACTATTTAAGCTTTCTTGTTGAAAACTAAGACATAGGCCAGGCATGGTGTGTTCATTTCTGTAATCCCAGCACTTTGGGAAGCTAAGGCAGGAGGATCACTTGAGACCAGGATTTCGAGACCAGCATAGGCAGCCCCATTTCTACAAAAAAAATGAAGATTAAAAAATTAGCCATATGCAGCCGGGTGCAGTGGCTCACACCTGTAATCCCAGCACTCTGGGAGGCCAAGGTGGGTAGATCACGAGGTCAGGAGATAGAGACCATCCTGGCTCACACGGTGAAACCCCGTCTCTACTAAAAAATACAAAAAATTAGCTGGGCATGCTGGCAGGCACCTGTAGTCTAAGCTACTCAGTAGGCTGAGGCAGGAGAATGGTGTGAACCCAGGTGGCGGAGCTTGCAGTGAGCCAAAACCGCACCACTGCACTCCAGCCTGGGCAACAGAGTGAGACTCCGTCTCAAAAAAAAAAAAAAAAATTAGCCATACACGGTGATATATGCCTGTAGTCCCAGCTACTCGGGAGACTGAGGTGGGAGGATCATTTGAGTCCAGGAGGTCAAGGCTGCAATGAACCAAGGTTGCACCGAACCAAGGTTGCACCACTGTACTTCAGCCTGGGGGACAGAGTGTGGCTGTGTCTCTAAAAATAAAAATAAGAAAACAAAGAAGCAAAAAAAAAAAAATTAAAACATCTCTATCTGGGATTAAGCCACCTCACAAGGCACTTTCCAGGGTCTGCCTTTAGGCTGAAAGCATTAAAAAAAAAAACACACCCAAAATAGGAAATCTCTTTCATCCAACCCCCTTCAGTATCTACTGGTTTTGTTCACTCTCCAGTAATTTCAGAGAATTGGGTTCTTAAAAATGTTTTATTCAGAGTTAATAGCTGTTATTCACAGGATGCTTGATCTAATAGAAGCTACTCAACAATTACCAGAAAAAACTCTCCAGAACACTTGGACACTGACACTTCACCCTGTTATTTAAAAAGTTGTTCATCTCTGTCATCTACCCAACTTCTTTCCTGCCTCTCTACTCTACGCCCTCACATTCTACTGGTAGGGAAGCACTTTCTGGCCATGGATGTGAGCTGTCCAAACACTCAGAAAGAAAGAATCTTGACTTTCTTCTTTTCTTTGACCTTCTTCACTCTATTTCAGCCAACACTTCCACAGGCCCACCTTCACCCTTGTCATCACTCTGAAATATGAAACACAGACATTTTACTCTCCACCCACAACAGCTAGCTCCCCAACCCCTGCACTGTCTCACTGCCAATGGCCTGAGGGGTATGCCAGCTGACCAGATCTTTGGTTAATCTTCCAAAGAACACAAAAACTATAGAAGTTGAAGTCTCCCTCCTAATAAAAGACTTTTTTTCCCCCTAACATTTTGGAATGTTTTGTTACAGGCTTACAGGGAAGGTTTTCAAGAACCACAGGAGATTAGGGGTAATTTTCTGATGTTTCATAAAGAAAACAGGTGGAACTTGGCAGAGTGGTAGTTCACAGCATGGACTTGACAGTCACACAAGGCCATACACCAGCTCTACCCTCATTTGCTGTAGAATCCAAAGCAAAGGACTTCCAATTTTGGAAGCCTTATCCAACTCATTTGCAAAACGAAGATGATAAAACCAACGTCACAGGCTTGCAGTGCAGAGTGTAATTAAGATCATACTCATAAAAAGCTTCACACGGTGTTTTGTTGTTGTTGCTTTGTTTTGTTTTGAAGAGAAATGGGTCTAGGCTAGGGCTATTTTTTAATCCAAACAGACAGGTGTTTGTGAACCAGATGTTCATGTGTACACAACAGGGCCCACGTGCCTGCATACAGACACCAGAATGTATGCACAAAAACATCCACACACGTATATGTAGTCACCCAGTTGTGCATGCATCCACACAAATGTGAACATGCAGCCATGTATCAGGTTGGACAAAGAAATGTACATCATAGATACCCCCCAAGGGATAAAACCCAAAGCATGCACTCAGACTACATGCACAGACAGACAGAGACTGGCAAACATTCAGGAAGAGTGGCATGGACATACATGCACCTCATCAGGCACTTACACAAACGTGCATGTGCAGACATAAGTTGGAATGGATGCCCACTTATCCAGCACAAACACACATCCCACAAAGCCTGGTGCATGCATAAATTCATCTATCAACAGGGACATGCTGAAACATATATGCACACAGAAACCTCAAGCATGCACCCAGAGTGACACACACACAGACAGGCATATAAATAAGGATAAACATGGCAGAGGCATCTAGGAGAAACCACTGGACAAAATGATGCAAACTTGCAAAGTTGCAGGAGCACACAGGGTGTTTGAGGGGAAGGTTGACTTGCAGGGAAGGAGAAAGAGAAAGACAGAAAGACAAGACCAGAGAAAAAGGGAGAGAGACAGGTGGGCGAAGTCCTGGCCAGGGCTCCAGGCCCATCCAGAGTAATCTGAGGGCCTAACACTGGCCTTTCTTCCTGCGAATATTACTTAACTCAGTGCCATGCTCTAGGAGGCAGCCTAAGGTCAATTTCCTATTCACAGCTTCATGGGGTAAGGCTTGCCTATGCTAAGGAAGGGATGGGGAGAGAGGTTCCCAAAAGACTCTGTCTCCCTTCCCCCTTCTCAAAGGAAAAGCTTTGGGAACATTAGACCAGAGAATTGCAAAAGCCAGGAGGGGGCTTGGAGAACATCTCATCCATTCTGTTCATCCTTAATAAGAACAGCCAATATTCATTGCACACTTACATGTAACTCGCCTGCATTGACCCATATACTTCTCACCTAAACAGCTGAAGAGCTAGGAGCTGTTTTTGGCTCCATAAGGTTCAGAGAGATGAAGTCAGTTCTTCAAGGTCACACAACAAAGAAGGGATAAGGTTTGGATTCCAATCCATGCCTTAACCTTGTTCTTAACCACTGTACCATCCATCCAGAAAGGGAAACACAGGCCCAACAATGGAAAGGGATTTTCCTGGGTTCGCCACTAACTCACTCTGAAAGCCTGTACCCAAGTCACCACCACTGGGACAAGTCCCTCCCACGTAATTTCAGATACCATTCTCTTACTCCACGCTCCAGAGTAATCAACAGGGCCAAAATTGCCAGACCTCTATGTCTCCAAATACTAGAGTTCTCCCAACCTGACTCCCCACGCCCTCCCTGGCCAGGTCATGGCAGCCTGTCTGAACACTCAGTGCCCTTCCTAGTGCCAACCTCATTGAGAAACAAACTCCCCACATTTCTACCTCTCTCCTTTTTAAGCAATGAGGGAGAAGAGGAAGGACCCAGGCTTGTGGCCAGCCTGAGTGCAGGTTGGTGACCAGGATTAAAGGGATTGATGTCTGTCCCGCTGGTGCTAATCCTCCTTCCCACCTCTTCCCCCACAAAATCAATCAACGGCTTCCCTCTCTCTGCTTTGTTCTCTGCTCTTTGATCCCTCCACATAGGTCTCAGAGCTCAACAGCTAATTTGAGCCAGTTAGAGCCAGTCCTGGGAGTGTCAACCTCACCTACCTCCACTTGTCCAAAGTTGGTGACCCAGAGGAGAGGTGCAACCCTGGAAGGACCAACCATCAGAGCCTGTCCTGCGGCCATCTGGGGCCCCTCTCAGGATCTGGCTGAGGCTTATCTCAGACCCACATAGGACCAATCTCAGCAACTGCCTAATGCTCATGTCAGAGCCCACTGGAACCAACCTCAGACCCTATATGGTACCACTCTTATGCCCTCCTGAAGCAGGACACTCTCATGCCCTCCTGAAGCAGGACACTCTTATGCCCTCAGTGACACCTGAGACAACACACAGAGCCCTCTTGGCACCAAACATGACTTTAATATTCTCCTGCTGTCAAGTTCAGTGCCAACTTCTTTCCCATCCTTGCGTACACCTGGGGGCAGTCCCAAAGCCAACACGATGCCTCCCCTCCCTGGCCATATCTGATGCAGATATCAGAACCCGCCAGGGTCATCCCTGTGTCCACTGCTGATACCAATCTCGGCACTCACCTCCTGCTAAGCCTGGCCCACACTTGACTCCCAGGGTGATCTAGGCCAGTCACTGAAGGGGAACGAGGAGAGAGTTCATATCCCCACTCCCTCACTTACCCCCTGTGTGACCTCACTCAACTGGATTTATGGAGTCTAGATCTGCTCATCTTCAAAATGAGGATGATGATGAACCAACTTCATTGTTACAGATTCGACCAGGTCATACACACCTAGACTTGCTCTTCCCATATGCAACCATGCTCACCAAAGGGTAACTGTCCTGTTTACTAAGGAAGAATTTCCCTGAGGGAAGGACAAGAGGGCTACTCATCCTTCTCCACTCCCACCCACCCCAGGCTCTGCCTCTGTGCCTAACACTGGAGTTTACCCCAATCTCTTCTGCGATTGTTCCCTCTGCCTGCTAATAGTAGTAGCCCCTGACAAAGCAGGAATCACCCTTAAAGGAGACTTAACTCACCTTCAAATATGATCCTCTCTTCCTAAATAGTCCCTTTCCACTGGCAGGAAAACGAAATCCAGAAAGGGGAACTAAGGATGCAGAGCAGGAGAGACGGGAGTTCAGGGCCACTCACGCATGTCCCCTGCCCACTGTCTGTTTTCTGTCCTCCATAGACCCTTATATAAAATGAGAAACATAAATAACAATAATAATATTAATAGGGATGATACAATCAATCTAGTGGGTTTCCCTAAGGATCTTGTTGGAAACCAGTGGAGGTCTTTGTAAATTACAACCCTTGGGACATGAGATGTTTCCACCATTTGGGGGTTGTTATTACTATTTCTCCAGACCTGGCCAATCCCTCTGCCAACTGATAACAGGAGGTACTCTCCTCCAGGTGTGGGGAAAGTTCCCTTGAAATACGGCTCTAGTCTTCCAACCCTTTCCCAACCAGAGATGGGCAGTGGAGGTTCTATGGCACCCATCCTGGCCTCACTCTGAGGTTCCAATGAGGATTCTGGGCATTAAGAGACAGCTCTGGGCCACAGCAAAATCAAGTCAGTCCCTGGGCCCAGTGCTGGGCTGCTGGGTTTTCTGGGAGGAGCTGCTGGGCTTGCTACACACTCCTCCTCCCAGAAACTCCACACCCACACCCTGGTCTTCCTAGCCCCAAGACTCTCAAGTCCATATGCCTGGAATCCCCCCTCCTGAGACCCTTAACCCTGCATCCTCCTCACCAGAAGACCCCAAATGCACAGCCACACTTCCATCTCACACTAATAAAACCCAGACCTTTGGATTCTTCTCCTTGGGACCCCCAAATCCACAACTTTGGGGTGCATTCTCACTCCCAGATCCCAAATCCAAAATCCAGGTGCTCCCCTGTGCAAATATTCCAAACTCCTCAGTTCTACAGTTTATCTGTTGCCTCCTCCTAAATCCACAGCCCTGCGGCACCCTTCCCAAAGTACCACAGATTTAGTCTGGAGGTCCCCTCCTGGTTCAGCTGCCCTGGGGTCCCCCTCCTCCTCCCTTGCTGGCTGTGTCCCAAGCTAGGGGGAGTTCATGGAGGGAGTGTAGTTACAATCACCAAATGAGGTGATTATATAACCAGTCAAAGTCCACCCCTCTTTTTCAGGCAGTATAAAGGCAAACCACCCCAGCCGTCACCATCGATCATCCCACTGCCACCATGCTGGCCTCAGGGCTGCTCCTGGTGGCCTTGCTGGCCTGCCTGACTGTGATGGTCTTGATGTCTGTCTGGCAGCAGAGGAACAGCAAGGGGAAGCTGCCTCCAGGACCCACCCCATTGCCCTTCATTGGAAACTACCTGCAGCTGAACACACAGCAGATGTACAACTCCCTCATGAAGGTGTCCCAAGGCAGGGAGATGGGTGGCACGGGGTGGGGGCTGCCCAGCTGGCTGGAGCTTTGTGGCAGGGGATTGACCACTGTGGACCAGAGACTCAGGAAAGGGAGTTTTGGAGGTTAAGCGTCAGGGTCCTAGCCAGGAAAGACAGGGTCTTGGGATGTCCAGCTCCCTGACTGTGAGAACCTGACTGGGCAAAGCATCCCAGTACATGAAACCTCGGTGCTGGGTCCATTCGGAGTAGCAGCTGCTCCCTCTAACCTCTCCCACCCGCCTCCATCAGATCAGTGAGCGCTATGGCCCGGTGTTCACCATTCACCTGGGGCCCCGGCGGGTCGTGGTGCTGTGCGGACATGATGCCGTCAGGGAGGCTCTGGTGGACCAGGCTGAGGAGTTCAGCGGGCGAGGCGAGCAGGCCACCTTCAACTTGTTCTTCAAAGGCTATTATGGTGAGGGGATCCCGGAGGAGGAAGTTGGCCAGGCCGACTCGATGGCCTCTGCGTCCCCAGCCTTCTTCCTGACTTTCCTGCCCACTGAAGGCTGCAGCAGAGCTCCCAGTCTGGTCTTCTCTCCCCAGCTCCCTTCATTGTGTCCTCTCCCTCTTGCCTGTCTCCAGCATCCCTGTCCCTGTCCAGATTTCTCCCTGCCTCTCTCACTGGAGTCTCCTCCTTCCCCTCTGTCTCCATCTCTGAGGACAATCCTGGGCTTCCGTTTTCCAGCCCTGGTCCTCTGTCTTCATTTGTCTTTTTGTCCTTCTCAGATTCTGTGCTTCTCCGTGTTTCTCCTCTGTCCACTGACCTCTCCTTCTTCCTCTGTCTTAGGATTTCACAGTATTCCTACTTCCACATCTCCAGCCTCCATCTCCTGGTAACGGTCTCTCCTCCTTCTAGACCCTCTCTGTTTCTGTCGCAGTAATTTTCCCTCTTCTCCAGCTCAGCTTAAGAATCTTTCACCATTTTTACACTTGAACCCGGAAGGTGGAAGTTGCGGTGAGCCGCCAAGATCGCGACAGTGCACTCCAGCCTGGGCGACAGAGCGAGAATCTGTCTCAAAAACAAATAAACAAATATACAAACAAAAGAGACTCTTTCACCATTTTTTATTTTCTCCTCCCAGATCTCCCCATATCTCACTTTCCCTCCTTCCATCCTCTTCTCCCATCTCTGTCTCTCTTTCTCTCCCTCCTTCCCTCTTTATATTCTGTGGAGTGTCCCGTCTCCCTCTGTTTCGCTGTGCATCTGTCTGGCCTGTCTCTTTTCCGATCCTCTTCTTCCCATTCGGTCTCTGTCCCTTTCTGTTTCTCTGACTGAGTTTGCAGCTCTCCTGCGCGAGGTTTCTGCGCCTGCCCCCGCCGCCTGACTCCACCCCTGCGTTCCCTCCCCAGGAGTGACCTTCAGTACCCTGGAGCGCGCCAAGCTGCTCAGGCACTTCTCCATCGCCACCCTGCGGAACTTCGGGGTGGGCAAGCACGGCATCAGGAGGTATCCAGGAGAAGGCGGGCTTCCTCATCCAGGCCCTCCTGGGCACGCGCGGTGAGCACGCGCGGTGAGCACGCGCGGTGAGCACGCGCGGTGAGCACGCGCGGTGAGCACGCGCGGTGAGCACGCGCGGTGAGCACGCGCGGTGAGCACGCGCGGTGAGCACGCGCGGTGAGCAGCTGAGGCTGGAGAAGAAAAACGCCCAGGGCAAGGAACCCGCGCACGCAATTATGTCCGGGAACTGGGACTAGGTGGGGAAAGGCGCCCGCGCTCCCAGCCCTGGAGTCTGGCGCTGGGAATTTGGCTTATCAGGGCAGTGCCTCCTGGAATTCTCAGACTGGCATCAGACCTCTGAGTTGACTCTCTCCCCAAACCCCTTCTCCCCCAACACACCGCCACACCCGCAAGCTCCAGGATCAATCCCACCTTCTTCCTGAGCCGAACCGTCTCCAATGTCATCAGCTCCATTGCCTTTGGTGACCGCTTTGACTATGAGGACAAAAGTTCCTGTCACTGCTGCGCATGATGCGGGAAAGCTTCCAGTTCACGGCAACCTCCACGGGGCAGGTAACCGGCTGCAACCCGGCCCCTGACGCCCCTACCACAACCTGCCAACTGCTCCCCTACATGGGGACAGGTGCCCCAAACGCCCACCTGCCTCCAGGCAGTGTCCCCTCCAATCAGCCCCCAATACTGGACAACTGGACAGTTGCACCAGAAACCAGGATGGGTGTCCAATACCCAGTCTCCAAGGACACCTGGATAGCTCAACAGATGCTCCCCAAAACAAAGCCTGCGGGCAGGATGCAAGCCCTCAGCTCAGCTCTCTCACCTGGGCACGTGTTCCCATCCCCAACTTACCCTAATTTGTAACAGGTGCTCCCTACCCTGTTCTTCTGACTATTTTAACACCTGGACAAGTGACTGCCTCTACCCCTTCCTGCATACCTGAACACCTGGTGCTGCAAAATCCGGCCCATCATAATCATTTCACATCTACACAAATGTCCCAAATTAGCCCACTGGAATATCTGGCCAAGCACCCTCTACTTCACCGACTTAAATACCTGAAAACATCGACAGTTGCCCTAACCAACACCCTAAACACATAAATATCTAGACAGATTATTCCCCAGACACCCAAATAAGTGTTCCCCAACCTTTCCAATCACACACCTTACAGAGGTGCCCCCGATGCATCCCACTTGGATAGGTAAACACCTGAACAGGTATCCCCTCTACTTCTTCACCAGCCCCACTTTAATACCTGAACACCTGAACAAAAGCCCCCAATCCAGACCCAATAAGTATCTTGGTAGTTGTCTCCAAGGAAGCTCACCTGAATGCCTAAATACCTAGACAGGTGACACTCCCCTCATACCAGCCCCACCCGAGTAGCTAAACACTTGAACAGGTGTCTTCCAACACATCCTGCCTTGAATATCTAAACACCTAGCTGTGTGCTCCAATCCAGCCTTACTGAAACCTGGATGTATGCTTCAATCCATCTTACCTAAATTCCTGGACAGTAGCCTTCTCCCTTAACCCTCATGAAAACTTAGATATATGCTCCCATCCAGCCCCACTGAAATACCTGAACACCTGGGCACGTAAGTGCCTTCAACCCAGTGCCTTTCTTTCTCTGACACAGGTTCCATTCCCATCAATTCCTGCCCCCTGACAGCTGTCCTTCCCTTCCCATCCTCTCTCCACAACCCCAGCTCTACGAGATATTCTCTTCGGTAATGACACACCTGCCAGGACCACAGCAACAGACCTTTAAAGAGCTGCAGGGGCTGGACGACTTCATAGCCAAGAAGGTGGAGCACAACCAGCACACACTGGATCCCAGTTCCCCACGGGACTTCATCGACTCCTTTCTCATCCGCTTGCAGGAGCTACACCCCAGCAGCCAATGGGAGGAGCTGCAAAGCCAGGCAGAGGGAAATCAGGCTGGCAGTGGGGAGGGCAGACAACACAGGCCCATTCAAATTAGCCCCTGTCATAATAATCCTCACAATCCCAACTATATCAACCACTGCTGTTGATATAGTGACCCCTATCTACCGACCCCTCACCCAGAGGCAGGACTTTTGTATGTGAATTCAAATAGCAAGCACTTCTACAGAACTACCATGTGCCAGGCACTGTGTTAAGTGCTTTAAGATAGTCCCTGCTTTAGCACTCATGACAGCTCTTGAGGAGGTTCAATCATGGCCTCAATTTTACAATTGAGAAAACTGAGGCCCAGAGAGTATAAGTGGCTTCCCTGAGGTCACACAGAGAGGAAGCTGAGGTCCCCCAAGCTCAAACCCTGGTCTATCTAAGTCTAAGGCTGGTGCTTTTTTTTTTTTTTTTTTTTTTTGAGACAGAGTTTCGCTTTTGTCACCCAGGCTGGAGTGAAATGGTGCAATCTTGGCGCACTGCAACCTCCACCTCCTGGGTTCAAGTGATTCTCCTGCTTCAGCCTCCAAAGTAACTGGGATTACAGGCGCCCACCACCATACCCAGCTAATTTTGTATTTTTGGTAGAGATGGAGTTTCACCATGTTGGCCAGGCTGGTCTTGAACTCCTGACCTCAGGTGATCCAAGGGCTGGTGCTTTTAGCCACCATGCTCGCTAACCTATCATGCCCTGGTTAGCAGACACACCTCTGTGGACAGGTGACCTGGCTGTACATTGCAGGATCCCCACCTCCATGTGGATGTCAGTCTCCCATGTGGGAAGGCTTTAGGGAGTCTAAGCTCAGGGAGAAAGGATCAAGGGAGGGGGTTCCTCCACAGTAAGCATCAAGATTTTTAGGGAAGAAATAGGATGCTGTTGCTTAAAGCTCTGTCTGTCAGAGAAACTATGCCTCTTTTTTACTCTCTCTGACTCATTCGACCTTACAATATCTGTGCTTTTTCTCATTGTATCTCTCTATCCCTCTTTTTCTAAATATTTCTACCATTTAAAAAAAGGGACAACTGAGCCTGGCCTGGTGGTGCATGCCTATAGTCCCAACTACCTGGGACTGAGGCGGAAGGACTGCTTGAGCCAATGAGTTTCACTCCAGCTTGAGCCACATCCCAAGACCCAGTCTCTAACTTAGAAAAAAAAGAAAAGGTATAACGAATCTGACAGTTAAAGGACAGCTAGTCAGGTAAGCTAGGTGAGAAGGAAGAGCATTTTGGGTAGAACCAGCAGCCAGGGCAAGGGCTGGAACCTGGAGTGAGCCTGGTAGATCTAGGGTCCCTCTTTCCACCTTTGGTCTGAATCGAAGAGAGGTAGATCTAAAGGAAAAGCCCTAGCAGGGCCTTGAGGGCAAGAGGAGTGAGGATGGTCTAAAGCCCCCTCTCCCTGCAGGAGGAGAAGAACCCCAACACGGAGTTCTACATGCAGAACCTGGTGCTGACCGCGCTGAACCTCTTCATTGCAGGCACCGAGACCGTCAGCACCACCCTGCGCTACGGCTTCCTGCTGCTCATGAAGCACCCAGAGGCGGAGGGTAAGGCTGGAGGGGGAGGGAAGAGGAGGTCCGCAGACCCTCAAAACTCCCCTGAGCCTGGTGCAATGTCCCCACCTGTCCCAGATCCCAGGACCCTGAGACGTGCTTTGCTGTCCACAGACAGGGCAATATTCAGCTGACAGGAATCAGCTGAGTCTCACTAGCTATTAAAATACTGAAAATGTCTGTAGTGATTGGTCAGTCACTCCCGTCCCAAGCCCACTGAGTGCCCACTGCCTGCTCCTCTGGATCATCCCTTGAGTTCCTCCCTGTGCCTCCCCTGTGATTCTGGCACAACCTGGTTAACAGGACCCTGCTCCAACAATGCGAATGACTAATGTCTGTTCTGAATGGTCTACCTCCGTGTCATTGGTGGAGCCATGTAATCTACCCCATTTTACCTATTTGGACTATAATCCCTTCTCTGAGACCCCTAAATACCTAAACACATTCCCCCTCCTCCCCCAGCCAAGGTCCATGAGGAGACTGACAGAGTGATCGGCAAGAACCGGCAGCCCAAGTTTGAGGACCAGGCCAGGATGCCCTACACGGAGGCAGTGATCCACGAGATCCAAAGATCTGGAGACGTGATCCCCATGGCTGTGGCCCACAGGGTCAACAAGGACACCAAGTTTCAGGATGTCTTCCTCCTGAAGGTGCTGCATGTCCCCCCACCAGCCTAGAAGGACTTCCGACACACTCCCTGAGACCCCAGCATCCCATCTCCATGAGAAGCTTTCTAGCCCCTGTCCCACTCCTTAAATCAAAGATTTTTCTAGTCACCACATCCCTTCCATCTTCCGTCTCAGAGACACCTGAATCCTGTATCTCCAACAGAATTTTTGCCGCAGAGGAAGCAGCTCCATGTCCACAAACTCCCTGTCTCAAGGGACATGAGTTTCCTTTTCCTTTCCCCTTGCCCTTTTGCCTTAAGGACACAAATTTCATTTTCCCTGAACACCCTGCCTAAGAGGACATGGACCCCGTGTCTCCCAAACTTCCTGTCTCGGACATGAACCTTCTATCCCCCAAAGCTCCTCCCTCAGAGGTCCCCAACTCCCATGCCTGCCACTTACCCTCACCTGGAGCACCCTAGTTCTCCCTCCAGCCCCTGTGGACCTTCACCAATCCCCCAACCCACCTCATCTCACACACCTTCCTCCTCCCTCCCAGGGCACAGAAATGTTCCCTATGCTGGGCTCTGTGCTGAGAGACCCCCAGGTTCTTCTCCAACCCCCAGGACTTCAATCCCCAGTAATTCCTGGATGGGAAGAGACAGTTTAAGAAGAGTGATGCTTTTGTGCCCTTTTCCATTGGTAAGAGACCACTGTTTGCTGCAAGGCCACTGCTCACACCAGCAGGGGCCTCCCTCACCCAGCTGTCCTTTCTGTGGTGTAGCTGGTATTTCCCTGGCTTCCAAGTTCCTGTTAGAATCTACCCTTTAGTCATCAGCTGATACTCCCTTAACGACTCAGTACCTGCACCCAGGCAAAAGGGAAGGAAACATCTTACCCCTTTCAGAGTGGGGAAAACCAAGGCCCAGAGTGAATCAGATTCATTTGTCTAGGGTCACACAGCAGATTCTTCAGATTCCTAAAAAGGAGATGATAGCACAGCAGTCGTATTTGCGAGTGTATCTGGAGGAAGGGGCATCTAAACCTTCCATTATGACACCTGGCATGGATCACCCCATCTTTCGTACATCCTTTGTACACTCAGGAAACTGAGGCTCAGGGAGGATCAGAGCCTCCTCTGAACATCTCTCAGGCCATAATATTCCACCCCTCCTCCCTAGGAGAGCTGTAGCTGGAGGTCGGTAGTGGGGTGAGGCTACACCGAGAATGGGCTTCACCTCCACCCCTCCCGCCTCTCCTCCTCAGGAAGGACACAAATTTCAAGGACACCAAGTTTCTCCTCCTTTATTCCCCTCCTTTGAGAACCTCACTCATTAGTGGGAGTTATCGCTTTCATCCTCACTACCCATGATTTCTTGCAAGACAGATTAATAGTGATTCATATAGTACACTTGTGCTGTAGCATTTTGTTGGACTAAGGTAGCGATGAAGCTTTTTATCATTTGAAGAAGTATAGGTAGCAAACAAGGGAGCAGGAAGCAGGTTCCTATTACTACTATAACTCCTATTATGAGAGTTTAAATCCTCCTAGTGCTGGGAACCATTTTCCAAACATGGCCCCCGGATCCAATCCATGCCACACTTACACGGGCACATGTGCCAGTTTTGTCATATCTCTAACTATGTCTTCAACTACTTGTTCTTGGTCATCTATGTGTAGACGACAATTAGTAAGGTTAAGTTTCTCACAGGCGCCTCCTTCAGCTGCTAGCAAGTACTCAAGAGCCAATCTATTTTGATAGATAGTACTTCTCGTCTGTGTTTCTTGCCAGGCCAAAATAGTCAAGGCTCTGTCGGTTTTATTAGTGATTATTTCTAAGACAGCTGGTAACCATATGATTCGGCTGAACATGTAAGTGCCCAGCCTGTTGTACATTTTACATTATAGAGGGAATATAATTGTAACGTTTGTAACACAAAGAAATGGTGAGTGCTTGAGGTGATGGTTACCAGATTTACCCTGATGTGATTATTATATGTGATTATACACTGTATGTCTATCTACATTGTATGTCTGTGATTATACATTGTCTGTATCGAAATATCTCACACACCCTATACTATATACACCTACTATGTAGCCACAAAGATTTTTAAAAATAAAAATTGCATAGACTCCTCAAACCCCAATCTCCAGTACTTTTCTTGTCTTGCTCCACCCCAGGACCACAGCTCAAAACCTCAAGTCTATCAGAATTTCTCCCTCCTGTCGGCCTCCTCTTCATTTGACCTTATAAAATTCTAGAAGCTTCTGTAGTTAATATATAAGCGAGAAAGGAACTCCTAATCTTTTCTGTGGAGTCCCATCCAAAGTTTCACCCCAACTGACTTGCTGCCCGTGAGCGGTTTCCCTTCTACCCACCTCCACCCTTTCCATCCCTTCCACACTCCCGCATCTGAAAACCTGGACAAACTTGAGAAAGCCCTGTGGTTTATTTGCAAAGTGCTCCCCCAGGAAGGACAGAGGCCAGGGCCCAGGAGAGAGGCAGCCCTGGGAGGTGGGAATGGCCCCAGACCCAGAGTAACAAGAGGTCACTGGGAACAATGAGGAGTGAGAAGGCTGAGGGCGCCGTGGTCCTCATTCCACCCACCTTCCATTCTGCTGTCGCTCTTAAAAGACATGTTGTTCTGTTTGTTGTTTGATTTCTGTGGTTGGTAAGGGAAGATGTGCCATGCATTTGCACTGGCAGAGTCCCTGCTAACTCTTCAGAGGCTACAAGGAGCCCAAAGCTGGCAGGTGCTGCAGAGGCCAACAGGTTAGCATCTCAGGGCTGAGTCTCAGAGCCAGCTTCCCATTGGCCACAGGCTGGCTGGTGTATCCTCGTGATAAAGATATTAAACTTGCAGCACCTCCCTCAGGGAAGGGTGGTAGTCCTGCTGGTGGAATGTGTGGAGGCTGGATTGATTGATTGATTGATTGATTTTTGAGATGGAGTCTTGTGTTGTCGCCCAGGCTGGAGTGCAGTGGTGGGATCTTGGCTCACTGCACACTCTGCCTCCTATGTTCAAGTGACTCTCCTGTCTCAGTCTCCTGAGCAGCTGGGACTACAGGTGCGTGCCACCACACCAGGCTAATTTTTGTATTTTTTTAGTTGAGACAGGGTTTCCGTATGTTAGTCAGGCTGGTCTCAAACCCCCTCACTTGAGGTGCTCCACTAGCCTTGGCCTCCCAAAGTGCTGTGATTATAGGCATGAGCCACCATGTCCAGCCTGGAGGCTGGATTTAGACTGGTTCCACTTCAAGAATACTGCTAAGCTTTATCAAAAGGTTGCATTGCAGCACAGGGGATCGAGAGTAACTGGCAGGCAGAATTGGGGGCATCTTGGGCTCTTTGGGGATGAGAATTTATTCTGGTCTCAGAAGAAAGTGGGATATGGAGGAGACAGTCTGATGGAGGAGGCCTAGCTCCATTTTGGGAGGGCTGTGGGGTAGGGGATGCTGATTAGCCACTCATTCATCCATTCATTCCTCAGCAAATATTTGAACACCTGTCATAGGCCACACGCTGTGTTGAGAGTACGGTGATGAGCAAGACAATGGTTTAGCCCTTCACAGAGTTGGCATTGAGGTGAGAGAGGCGTTCTCACCAATGTTCCTTCCAGAAAAATCCCTAGGGACCTGACAACAAAAGAATCCCACACGAAATGGCACAGATCACCTCTTGACCTGGGGAGGTCAGGCTTTAGAGATGTTTAATTCTCAGCGGATTTGAAGGAACATATCAGAGAATCCAAAGCACCAGTGCAGAATCCCACAGCTCAGGGAACCTGGGCCAAGGAGGCTTTTGACAGAGGGAAGCAGTAGGAAGAGGCAGCTGGGAACGAGGATGGGGGAGGACTACAGCAGTGTGTGACTGTAGTCTACAACAGGCATGACCCTCAAAAATAGCGTTCAACGTGAAAGCAACCAGACACAAAAGATCACATATTACGCCTGTAATATCAGCACTTTGGAATGCTAAGATGGGTGGATCACCTAAGGCCCGGAGCTCACAACCAGCCTGGCCAACATGTCCCCACTAAAAGTATAAGAAAATCAGCCAGGCGTGGTAGCACATGCCTGTGATCCCAGCTACTTGGGAGCTGAGGCAGGAGAATCTCTTGAACCTGGAAAGCAGAGGTTGCAGTGAACCAAAATCACACCACAGCACTCCAGCCTGGGAGACAGATCAAGGTTTTGTTTCAAAAAAAAAAAAAAAAATCTAGTATTGTATGATTCTGTTTATAGGAAATATTGAGAATCGGTAAGTCCATAGGGACAAAAACCAGATTGTCAGGGGCTGAGATGAAAAGGAGAATGGGGTATGGGGAGTGACAGCTTGACAAGTATGGGTTTTGTTGGAGGGAGATAATGAAACATTTGGAACTAAGCAAATCACCTAACATCAGGAGTTCAAGACCACCTAAAAATACAAAATTTAGCCCGGCATGGTGGAGGGCACCTGTGATCCCAGCTACTCCAGAGGCTGAGGCAGGAGAATCTGTTGAACCCAGGATGTGAAGGTTGCAGTGAGCTGAGATGGCGCCACTGAACTCCAGCCTGGGTGACAGAGTGAAACTCCCTACCAGAAAAAAGAAAATGTTTGGAACTAGATGGTGGTGGCTGTACAGCTTTGTGAATGAACCACATGCCACTATGCACACTTTAAAATGGCTAATTTTATGTTATGTGAATTTCATCTTAATTTTTAAAATCTTATATGTACATGGCCGAGCACGGTGACTCACACCTGTAATCCCAGCACTTTGGGAGGCTGAGGCAGGTGAATCACTTGAGTTCAGGAGTTCGAGACCAGCCTTGCCAACATGGTGAAACCCCGTCTCTACCAAAAATACAAAAATTACTGAGCGTGGTAGCACACACCTGTAATCCCAGCTACTAGGGAGGCTGAGGCAGGAGAATTGCTTGAACCCCGGGGGTGGAAGTTGCAGTAAGCCGAGATTGTGCTACTGCACTCCAGCATGGGTGACAGAGTGAGACTCTGTCTTAAAAAATATATATATATTATATATATTATATATATAATATATATATTTATATTATATAAATTATATTATATATTATATAATATATTATATATATATATATAGTATAGTATAATTTTCAATAATCTCGCTCCTCCACTCACTTGCAATGTGACCTCAGACAACTGGTGCCATGGAGGGGAAGGAAGCTGGCTTGCTGCAGGTCTCTCAGAGGCAGGAAGTTGCGGGGAGTCAGAGCCACTGTCTACAGAGATGGGGACACTGAATGACCCTGGAATCCTTTGACCCCCTTCCCTCAGCCCCTTCAGCGGGGCAGGAAGCGGATCTGGTACGTTGGGGGTATTTTGCCCACACCACTCTCCTGGGGTGTCAGATCGATGTCTTCAGGAGCCACGGGGCTGGCCACGGAGAAGTTCTGGAGGATGGTGGTGAAGAAGAGGAACAATTCGTTGCGGGCGATGCCTTCATCAAGGCAAATCCGCCTCCCTGTGGACACAGAAGGTCACCAGTGTGGGCACAGGGCAGGTGAATACTCTTCACTCTCATATGTCCCTAAGCCCAGATACGTATGTCCACTGCAACAGATTTGCATAAGACTGGCCTTTTACCTACAATTCAGGGTGGACTTTGAGGAAGCTGCTCTGAAACCAGGTGCAAATCTTTGAGTGGATGTGCCACGTTCATCTCTCTGTCTCTCTATTTATTTATTTATTTTTTTTTTTTTTTTTTTTTTTTTTTTTTTTTTGAGACGGAGTCTCGCTCTGTCGCCCAGGCTGGAGTGCAGTGGCGCGATCTCGGCTCACTGCAACCTCTGCCTCCCAGGGGGTTCAAATGATTCTCGTGTCTCAGCCTCCCAAGTAACTGGGATTACAGGTATCCACTACCGTGCCTGGCTAATTTCTTGTATCTTTAGTAGACATGGGGTTTCACCATGTTGGCCAGGCTGGTCTTAAACTCCTGACTTCAGGTGATCCTCTCACCTTGGCCTCCCAAAGTGCTGGGATTACAGGCATGAGCCACTGCGCCCAGCGCCATGTTCATTTTTCTGGTAGAGGGTTTGTAGCTTCTGTTAGAGTTCCAAAGGGTTTGGTGACCTCCACAGAGTACAATGACCTGCTTCCGGTTGTGTGTGTGTGTGTGTGTGTGTGTGTGTACCTCTACATGTGTGAGTGTGAGCGTATTTATGACAACATTCTTAGTGTTCTTCACTTCTCATACGGGGAGAACGGCACCCCTCTCAAAGGGCTCTTGTGTGGTTAAAGGAGACAATTGACAAAACTCTTAGGATAGCACTTGGCTTGTGCTAAGGAGCCTTAAGGTTTGGTTATCGTCTTGTGTTTGTTTCTGGGGGTATGTGTGGGGTATGTGTTTCTGGCCATGTGTCTGTGTGTGTGTCTCTAGGCTGTCTTCGGGTCTCAGCCTGAGATCCACAGGCTTCAAGAGCTCAGGGGGGAAAAAAACCCAAGTTGTATGTAAATTGTGAATGGGACCAATGCATGTGAGTCAGGGAGGGTCTTTTTCTTCCACTGATTCTCAGAGGTGCAAGGAACCCCCCATAGGTTCTAAACTACAGACCTGGAGAAAAATGAGAACAACGGGAGCCAGAGAAAGCTGAGGCAGAGACAAAGGGAGCCTTTCCCTTCACTTCAGTGTTCATAATCTGCAGACCTTGGAAAGGCCATGTCAAATGTGAGTTTTCAGGCATTCCCTACGCCTGTCAAGTTGTTGGACAAGTGCGTCTACGTGGAGGTGTCTGGAAAAGGGTCCACGTCCCTTTGGCACATCCAGAAGGTGGGCGACATGAGCTTAGAAACAGGCAGGTCTCTGGGCTTGTCCTTCTGTAACTATTTGTGTGACCTAACGTTTTCCACAACAGCCTGATGCTTGTTAGCTCCCTCCCATCACACTCTCCCCATCTCTGGGGCCGTCTGTTTGGACCCCTTTTGGAATTTCTTTGGCTGCAGTACACTTTTGGCTTGGGTTATACCTTTCTTTCTGCTCCTGGCAGCCCTACCCCTGTCTTTTTCTCTGTCTATACCTGTCAGACACAGTTTCTCTTCCTTTCCTCTCCTTTTTTTGGCTTTCTTCCATCTTGCTTAACTTCCTATCTCCGTCTATTTGAATCTGATTCCTCCCCAATATCTCTTGCTCTATCCTTTTTTCATCTCCCTCTAAAGATACTTTATTTGTCTTGTTCATTCTTTCTTCCTCTCTTCTTATGTCACTCTCTCTTTTTCCTATCTCTTATCTGTTTCTCTCCTTTCCCTCCTTCCTTCTCCCCTCCTCCTTCCTTTTCCTCCTCCCTCTCCTCTTATTCCTCCTTCTCCTCCTTCTCCTTATGTGGCCCTCTCTCTGTGTCTCTCTCTCTCTTCCTCTCCATACACTGTCTGATGTTCACCTGCTGTCTGTCTTTCTGCCACTGTCTCCCCATCTCTATCTCTCAGGGTGTTCCCTCTTTGTCCCTAACTCTGTTTCTCAGTCTCGTTATCTTTGTTACTTATCTGTCTCTGTCCTTATTTCCCTACATCTCTGCCTCTCTTTAAACAAAATAGCAGGCCGGTCACAGTGGCTCACGCCTGTAATCCCAGCGCTTTGAGAGACTGAGGCAGGCTTACCACTAGGTCAGAAGTTCAGGACCATCCTGGCTAACACAGTGAAACCCTGTCTCCACTAAAAATACAAAAAATTAACCAGGCGTGGTGGCAAAAGCCTGTAATCCCAGGTACTCGGGAGGCTGAGGCACGAGAATCACTTCAACCCAGGACGCAGAGGTTGCAGTGAGCTGAGATCTCGACACTGCACTCCAGCCTGGGCGACAGAATGAGACTCCATCTCAAAAAAAAAAAAAAAAAAAAAAAAAAAAGATAGCAAAATTGAGAGAAGACATTGACCCTCAAGCCACCACCCCATGTGTTTCCAACTTTCATTGAAGATAAAATGTGGAAGGAGGTCACTGTACTGCACAAAACCACAGGCTGGGGCAGGACCCTGGATCACTGAAGTCACTGATGAAATTCAAGACTGGGGGTTGGTTTCTGGGGCCTTTCATGGATGGTGCATGTTAAATTAAATTTGGCCTAAAGGGGCCTCCCTACATAACAAACTGTAACCTAACTCAATATGTAAACAAACTGCAATGTAACTTGAGAGTATATTCTTGGAACAAGTAACCTTGGCCAATCAGAGCAGCCAAGCTTCAGCCAGTCACAGGCTGCAAGCTGCCCAGACACGCTCAGATAAGGCAAACACAGAGCTGTAACCAATCAGGCTGTTTCTGTACCTCAGTTCCTTTCCCTGTGGATAAATAATGCCTGACCACACTGCTGGGTGGAGCTCTCTGAACCTTTACTGGTTCCGTGTGCTGCCCAATTCATGAATTGTTTCTTTGCTCAAATAGATTCTGCTAAGTTTAATTTGTCTAAAACTTTTCTCTTAACCAACCAAAGAGTGGAGGATGAGAACTGGGACAAGTCAGAGCACGTCAAGACCTTCTCCACTCCCCAGTGCTAGACCAAACTCCTCCCGCAACCCTCAAGGTCCTGCCGAGCTGAGCCCTTTGTCTTATTCCCTTCTGCAATCTACAACCAAGGCACACTGGACTTCCTATAGTTTCTCAGCGATACCATCATGTTTCCACCTTTGGCCTTTGCCTTTGCTGTTTCCTTTGCCTGGAACACACTTTGCAATGGTTGATTGACACTCATCCATGAACACCTCGGCTTGGAAGCCGGTTCCTCTGGTAAGCTTTTCCTTACTGACCCCACAAGATTAGCTAGTATTTCCTATTTTGTGATCCCAAAGCTCCCTTTAGAGCACTTATCACAATTATGTTTAATTATAATAATTGTCCATGTGAGCATGTCCTTAGTGACAGGCAGTTCTAAGCATGTTGCAGGCATTCATTCATTTCATGAGATGATTATTTTACTGTTATTTGATGAATGCCCATCTTCCCTGTTGGACTTTAAATTTCCTGGGGCAGGAACCCTGTCTCTGTGTGACTTGTTTGATGCATTATCTTCAGCCCCCAATACAGCACTGCCCTTAGGGTAGTGCTCAACAGATTTTTTTCTCTTTAAGAAAATGAATTCACTGAGGTTTAGAGATATTAAAATACTTGCCCAAGGTCCTGCTTTCCAAGATGTGCCTTTGGGAATGTAATCTTCTTTCTCAAGCCCCCTTAGAGGGTTGCAGTGAAGATGGAATGGGATAAGGCAGGTGAATGTTGGTCAGTCTGGTCTCGAACTCCCGACATCAGTTGATCTGCCCTCCTCGGCCTCCCAAAGTGCTGAGATTACAGGCATCAGCCACCATGCCTGGCCACCATCCCTACTTCTAAGATGAGGGTAGCACCTCACGTTGTCCACAGGTAGTTGTAAATGACACCTGGAAAATCCCCTATGACAACACAGATAATTCCCAGCCACATTACTCTAGTGAGAAAACTAAGTCCATTGATTCACATGATACTCTTGTGACACGTGGAAAACAATGAAAAGAAAACAATGGGCACTTGGGACCTTCACCTACGTGATGCAGCTCTATTTGGTGGGAGGGATCCCCAGATCTCTGACCCCCTACTGGGGGCCAAGCAGCACTTTACAGGACTTGGCTGACTGCCAGTTCTGCTAAGTCAGGCTTGGAGCTTTCACTCACTGACTCCTTCATTTGTTCCTGGACACATATTTACTAAACGCCTACTGTGTACCAGGCACTATGTTCAGCACTTTGCTGAGACCTCACAGGCCTTCCTTGTCTGGAAGTGTGAGGGAGAGCTCAGCCACAGGTTCACAGGTAAATGCAGCACTGTCAAGAACATAGGCTCAGTAACAAGGGGCAGCTGGTGTATGAGAGCATATGGTGGGAACCTGGGGCTCAGGAAATCTTCTCAAGGGAGCTGCTGCCTGCCTGGATAGCTAAGGAACCCCAATAATGAGGAACAGACACTGTTCTTGCATTGACATTAACCAAGATGATCCACCCACATCCTCAAACAACAACAACAACAACAGCAAAACAAACTATTTACCCCAAGTCCTCCGTGTGGGAAAATAGAAATCTTTGCTGCAAGAAAGAAGGGGAGAGGGTCAAACATGTCTTTTCAAAACTTATCCCAACACTTTGGGAGGTTGAGGCAGGAGGATTGCTTGAGGCCAGGAGTTCGAGACCAGCCTAGGCATTTTAGTGAGATCCTCCCCTGAACCCATCTCTACAAAAATAAAAATAAATAGTGGGGCATGGTGGCTCATACCTGTAGTCCCAGTTACTCTAGAGGTTAAGGCGGGAGAATCTCCTGACCCCAGGAGTTCAACGCTGCAGTGAGCTATGACTGTGCCATTGCACTTCAGCCTGGGTAACAGACTGAGACCCTGTCTCTAAAACAATTGAAATGAAAAAATTCAATATCATTCCTGACAAGCCTCTACTTTCTATGAACTAACAAGTTAGCCACAAAGATCCTTTTGAAAACTCAGTTTAGGCAAATA